GGAGGAGGTGGAAGCGGGTCGGGTCATGGAGTCCTAGAGAGAAGAGTGACTCAGAGAGTGTTTCTTACAGCTGAGGACAGGGGGATGAAGGAAGGGCTTAGAATAGAAAAAGCAACAGGAGAGAGCCAGGGCGAGCTGCTTTGGCCCCTACGAGGCCAGGACAAGAGTGTGGGCTTTGTTCTCAACTGGAAGCCCCTCACTTCACTGTGGGGCTAACAGTGTCCCACTGGGTGGGGCTGGAGCACAGGACAGACCAGATGGAGCACAATCCAGGTGTAAGGCAGAGGTCCCAGAGCTGCCTAGGCCCCCAACCCCACCCCACCCCTACTCAAACACCCCACCCCCCACCCCTATCCCCACCCCCCACCCCCTGGCAAGCCCCTCAGTCATAGGTTCTGGGTGTGAACAGACAATGAGGAGAGCTTCTCGAAATACTTCTCTACAGAGCCCTCACTCAATTGCCTAGAACCCGGGGCACATGTTCCCACAGCCACAGCGCAGGCCCCACGCCAGAAACCACACAACCCACGGATGATTCAGCCGTCAACACAGCCAGTTTCCCATTGTTTCCTAGGAAATGGCAGACCCAGGTCCCAGCCATCTGCCTCCAAGACCTAGAAACGATGTCTGGCCCCCTCCCCTACCAGCCCTCCTGGCCCACCCTGCCCCTGCCCCTGCCCTGTGGCCTAAGTGAGTCTGCCTTCTGCTCTGGCCCAAGGCAGGGACTGGGCCACCTGTGCTCAGGCCAGAAGGTCAGGAGCTGGGAGTCAGAAGGATTTCCCAGCAGTAGCTGCTCATTGGGGGTGGGGAGGGAGGGGGCAGCCTGGCCTGGCCTCAGACCCAGTGGCTGTGGGGACGGCTATGGGAGGATCCCTGGAGGCCCCCCAGACGCCTCTGCATCCTCCTGGCCCTAGGGCTGCAATGGGCTACAAGCCAGGATCTTGACTCTGGGATGGACTGGAGGGAAGTCCCAGCACTCCTGACTCCCCCTCCCTGGGAAGTTCAAGGGCTCCCTTAGGGGAACTCCAGGAGCAGAAAGTCGGGATGCAAAGCGCTGGTGTGGCTCCCAGTAGTCCTGAGTAACAACCCTGCAGGGACATGATTTCCTAAGAGACCCTGCATACCGGGACTTGGGCCACCAACAAACCAGGCAGGGGCACCAAGAAATGAGAGTTCTTGTAAAATTTGCTATTAAAAACAGTCTCAAAATAAGCATTCAAGTAACTACTGTGGATAAAAGCTCTTATGGAAGACTGGACTTCCCTAACGTCCTTCTGGCTCGGTCTGGTTTCATTCGGAATCAAACATGGGGAGGGAGTAAGAACAGGTCACCTGATGTATGCAGAGGTCTGGGGTTAAAGGCCCAGGTTTCTACTGGCTCAGATAGCAGCCCGGTTTTCCCTGAGGGTCTCCTCGTGAAAGGGCTGGGGGCTCCGAGGCCCAAGAAGGAGTTTAATGCAGCCAGTCGGGTGTCAAGGGTCCCCTAAGGGTCCCGGGTAAGAAGGACTGGGGGGCTGAGGGCCTGGATCCCAGGTCTTCCTGCAGCTACACCGGCTCCTCCTGGGGTGGGGGCCATGGTCCAGCCCCACCCCACGGGTCAGACGCGGAGGCGGGGCGCCTGCATGCTTGTGGGGGACTCACCGCCAGCAAAAACCGCATCCCTGACTTCAATTATGCGTTTGAGTTAAGCTCTTTGGCCACAAACGGAAAGCCTTTGAGCCCAGATCCAGGCTCAGATGGGGCGGTGGGTGGACTCGGGGGGAGGCGTGGAGGACGGGGACCCGCTTGTGAGGGGGTGAAAGGCGACCTCCGATATTATTCGCGCTGGACCGAGACCTCGCCTTGCATGGAGATCTCATTCGTTTTGCACGGAGACCTCACCCGCACTACACTGCACTGCACCAAAGGCTCGCCTTGTCCTAGAGCTCAGACCTCAGAGCGCAGGAAGGGGCCCCGTGTTCAGGGTGGGAAACTGCGACCTCCCAGAAGAGACCAGGCTGCAGCGTCAGCCTTGGGGGTTAAACGCCTGGCCCTGCCGCCCCTTTAGAGCAGGACGTTGGGTACGGCGCGCCCTGGGAGCCTCCCGCTATCTGCCGCTTTCGCCCTCTGTCGGTGCGGAGGAGTCACGGCAGAAAATGACCAGAAGTGGCTTGAGACTGTCCTGACCATAAGGCTTCGTCCTGCAGGGTCCACTCTGCCCATTCTCAAGCCGACATCCAGGGCCGGATGTCCAGAGGGACAAGACATCAGTTCGAAGGCCGCCAGTCCTGGTGATGTCAGGGACCAGCCCTGGAGGATGCCTCTGACCTTCATCCTTTGCTGTATCCTCAGCAAAGGTAGACGGGGGTCAGCATGCAGGAAAGAGGGAAGAAAGGAGAGGAAGTTTCGCTGTCCTAAGGACAGAAGCTGACGTCCACAGCACACTGTTCGCTCAGTGTCCCTTCTTTAGTAGACGGCCTCTGGTGAGCGCTGACATGAGATGCAAGACTCACACGTGGTTCCCACTCCCAAGGTCCCACACCTGCCTCAGTCTCCAGTCTTCCCATCCTGGGCAGAACCCTCCCACGCTCTGAGCCTCATGCCCACCTGTCAGCCTTCCAGGTCACTTGCTCGGGGGCTGGTGAGGGGAGGGTCCTCTGGGCCCTCAGAGAACAGAGTCCTGGTGGAGTGTTTGCTCTTACGTAATACCTCCGATCTCTCACTCCTGCGCCATAAGCCTGCTAAGCTCTTACTCCATGCTCTAGCAAGGCAGCAGCATCTGCACCTCGTTTCCATTGCGCCCACACTTTGCAGAGCTATCTCAGCAATGTACTGGGATAATTTCCAAGTGTCCTGGCCAGGAAAACAAGTCTTGAGATAAGGAGATTTCTCCCAAATCAGTAAACTCAATGCGGTATCTTCGAGGTCCATCTGCACACATTTCCCCTGTGTTTGGTGATACACAGTATCCAGGACTGTGATTGTGTCAGTGAAAATGCCATTTATTCCCAGAGCAGGAACTTTATTCTCCCACCTGGGCTTTGCTGAGACCTGGCCGTAGTCGTTGTTCTAGAGCAGCGGTTCTCAACCTGTGAGTCACAACCCCTTTGGCGGTCGAACGACCCTTTCACAGGGGTCGCCTAAGACCATCCTGCATATCAGATATTTACATTACGATTCATAACAGTAGCAACATTACAGTTATGAAGTAGCAACGAAAATAATTTTATGGTTGGGTCACAACATGAGGAACTGTATTTAAAGGGCCAGAAGGTTGAGAACCACTGCTCTAGAGAAAACAAGGAGAGATGGGGACAGGTCTTGGGAACAAGCATCCTATTGTAAGGCGTCCATCTCAGGGGAGGTGTTCGCACAGTGTCTGGGCACCAGCACCTCTGGGAAGAGGAAAGGGGCTGCTCCGTGCCCAGAGGGGTCTGGGGAATCAAGGGGTTCAAACTCAGACTCACCCACCCAAATGTCCCCATCCCAGGGCACAGGGCTCCACCTATCAGGGCGCTGACTTTGGCATAGGAAACCTTTTCAGGGTGTTCCCGTTACAACTCTGGGCTCTATACAAGATGCCCAATTCAATTTGAATTTCAGATAAATAAATCATATTTTTGATGAATAAGTATACCCCATGAAATATTTAGAATGCACTTATACTAAAAAACAAAACAAAAAACTCTGTTCATTATTTCTATAAAATTCAAGTTTAACTGGACAGCCTGTTTTTCCTTATTATCTGGAAAACCTGCACTGGCACCCTTACCATTAAACTCTGGGACTGGGCCTCAGCACCACCTGCCCTGAGGGGGCAGGAGAGGATTTCTGTAAACACAGCCAGGATAACACACCCAGCCCTGTGTCTAATGCTTGCAGTTGCTTGGCGAGCCCACATGCTTAACCACACACACACGAACTGCAGAAGGAAACACAGACAGTATTCATCATGATTGCCTCTGAGGAATAGGAATAAGCAAACCTGACTTTTCATTTAGACTGTTTATATTCTTTACCATCTATCTTTATCATATATTACCACTTTTCCATTTTATAGATCTTGAAAACATGCTAATTTAAATAAATAAATACTAAAGTATAAAAAAAATTTTTTTTAATCTACCATTAAGGCCCTAGCAGGTTTGGCTCAGTGGTTACAGCGTTGGCCCTTGGACTGAAGGGTCACGGGTTTGATTCCTGTCAAGGGCACATGCTTCGGTTGCAGGCTCCAACCCCTGCCTGTTTGGGGCGAGTGTGGGAGGCAACCAATGTGTCTCTCGCACATCAATGTCTCTCTCTCTCTCTCTCTCTCTCTCTCCCCCTCCCTTCCACTCTCTCTCTAAAAAAAAACAAACAACAAAAATAAAATGTATCCTCAGGAGAGGATTAACAACAATAAAAATCTACCATTAAGGAACTTACAGTTCCAATGCCAACTTTGGGAAGATGCTATTAATTTTGCAAGCAATTGTGAAGTGTATGGTAAGGAAATGAAAGACCTAAGAACCACTCACAGGGGTTGTGGAAACGGGTGTAAGTTGCTCCCACCTCCAGGGTCTGCACAGATGGGTTGATGGTGTTTGGTTCGAGCCTCCATCCTAATGTGGTGCTGGGGCCTGAAATACCCAAGTTCACCTCCAGTGCTCCCGCCCGCACAACCGTCCTAGAAGGTTTAGTTTCCTCTCATAACAACTGTTCACCTAACAGCACTGGATTTCTTTGTATTCCTGTCCCCATGGTGCAGACATGGAAACTGAGCTTCAAAAGTAGTTCCAGGGGAAAGCACGTGCTTTTTGTTTAATTTTTAATTTTATTTTAATGGTAAGTGAGAGGAAGAAAGACAGAGTGCTCTTCTGCGCCCAAGTCCGGAGGAGAGAGAGAAGATGGGATTGGAAGGAGGTGCAAGCCCTGTGAGCTGCACAGGGTGGCTGCACCTGAGAAGGGCTGGGTGTGAAGCGCCCAGGAGCCAATGCAGGGCTGGGAGGAGGCCCAGCCCAGCCCAGGCGCGCGTCCCGAGTGCGCCCCGCCCCGTCTGCGCGCGGAGCCTGACTCCGCCCAGAGCGCGACTCTGACTTGCAGGACCTTTCTTGGTGGCCAAGACTGGGTGCCCTCTCCGCGGAGGGGCTCCCGGCGCTGTGGGCTCCCGGTCCGGGGGCGTCCTGATGCCAGGCAGGATGGAAGGCGGTGAGGGGCACGGGATCTGCGCGCGGAAACCCTGGGCGCAAAGTCCCACTTCCCAGCTAGTGTTCCCACTTAGTTCTTGTCTTGGTCTACGGCTCTTTCCAAGCCTCCGTTTCCCCATCTGTAGAGCCGGAGTAAATAGCGTCCTCCCAGCAGAGTTGGGATGGGAATTAAACGAGGTGCCGCGCGCTCCGCGGAGCGTTCGGGCAAGCGGGCGCCCTCGCACTGAGGGCAGGACCCCGCGGCCGCATCGCCGGCAAAGTCACGCGACTCGCCAGCTGTGGGCTCAACCCCGCTTCCTGCCGCCGCCTTTCTCCCCGAAGCTGGCTTGGGCGCCTCCCGCGCGGGCACTGGGGTTGCTCGGCCCTCCGCCCGGTCCAGCACCCCGAGGTGCCCGCGCTCCCGGAGCTGGGCGGGGCGCAGCCCACGTGACCCAGCGGGCAGCACCCGGACCTCCCCGCTGCCCGCCAGGCCCAGGCAGTCCAGAGCTCCTGCCCTGTGCCTTGCGCCCTGCTGCCCCCGTGCGCCCCGACCAGACGCCCAGGTTCATCTAAAGCAGGGCCCGCACGGCCAGGGAAAGAGTTGGTGAGTGCGGGGAGAAGAGGGAACGGTTGGACGCCGGTGCCCAGGACTGGTGGCCCAGGCTCAGGGAGGGTCCGCGGAGAAGTGTGCAGCTACAATGATGTGGAAACGCCCCCAGTGACCCCCTGGCCTCGCTCCAGGCTGGTGAGGAAATCCTGCCCAGCCCCCAGAACCCCAAACCTCACCCGGATACTCTGATCAGCAGGCCATTTTGAGGAAAACTGTGCTTTTAATTAGAAACCCTATTGGGGGTGAGGGGGGCGGACTGAGCTGGGGCTGGGACCTGAGAGAATTCGCACTGGGCTGGACGCCCAGGGGCCCAAGGCTGTTTGGGTAAATACTTCCTCCTGGTCTGCTGCCCTGCAGATCATGGGGTCAGGGCCCTGGGGGTGTCCTGGCAGGGGAGGAGGCGCCCTGACCTCCAGAAGCCCCGGGTTTATCTGAATCCTCTTTCGTTTGCTGCCAAGCTCCATCCTGGTCCATCCACCCTGTTGTAGAGATATGGGGAGAGTCTGTGAGCAATACCCTCCTTATAAATCCCCAAAGATTTCATAGGCTCAGACCTTAACCAAATTTAAAAACCCACTTCCTTTTCAGTTGGATTGGGGCCTTTAGATCTTTTTTGTCTTTTTTGTGTGTTTTAATCTTATATACATATTTCTTTCTCAGAGGTTGGAGTGATAATGGGGGGAGGGGAGGCCCCCAGTAGCCCACTAGCTGCAAAGGCTGACCCTGCCCGTGGAGGTGAAATCCAGGGAGAGAGCCAGAGCCTGCAGACCATGGGAGCTGAGCCGAGACATTGGCCCGCAGGCGAGGACTGTGCCAGGCACCCAGATGAGCAGGCAGGGATCTTACTGATTAAGGCATTAGTGACGGAAAATTACCAGCAGCTGAGTGGGTCTGGTGGGAGGATTGGGGGTTAAAGTAGGTGTGGGAAAGGTGGCTCTGGTGGCCTTGGATGAGAATGCAGTGGCTGCTCCTGTGGTTGGGTCAGCCTTCTAGGTCTGACTATCTCATTCTTTTAGAAGCAGCCTCTGGAGCAAGAGCTCTCCCCTTCCTCCCTCCTCTTACCCTGCCCCCCCTCCACCCCCTTCTATTCTAACATCCCGGCATCATACAGGGCTGGAGAGGGCCAGAGAGGTCCAGGAGCCCGACCGTTGTCCATGGTACAGATGGGAAAGCTGAGACCCAGGAACTTGTCCCAGGTCACAGGGCCGGCTGGTGCCTGAACTGGGATGGGAAGCCAGTTCCTGACTCTCAGCCCCCCATCGTCCTACAGCCTCAGCCTGGGACCCATCCTTGCTGAGGACACTGGAGCTGAGGCCTTCGCTACAAATGCCGGACCTGTGTCCGTGTATAAATGAGGGACCTGGGAGGGCAGAGAGAGTGGGCAGGCTGCAGAGTGCACACCCAGTGTCAGTGCAGGAGTGACCTCGGAGCCCCTCCTTGTACCCCAGGTGTGCCGGTGACCTGCAGGGGGGAGGGACTTCCCGTGGGAATGTGCTCATTTTGCAGCTGATGAGGGCTGGGGGATTGGTTCCTACCAAGGAGCGGCAGGCCCAGCTCTGGGGGCAGCATTTGGGCAACAGCCAGAAAGGTAAATGCAGAGACCCCACAACTGGCACCTGTGCCTTCCTTCAGGCGTGTCCCTGCACCTTTATCAGCAAGAACAGCACCTCACACCTGGATTCTGAGTCAGCGGGCATTCCTGCCCCTCTTAGCTGGGCATTTAGTGAGGGACGTTGACTGGCTCCCTGGTTTTATTTGCTCAGGCGGTGACGGCTCGTAATCACCACTGTGCCAAGGCTTAGGGAGCAGCCGCCCAAGATGTGGTGGAGCCAAGTGTCATGAAGGAGGAACCCCCGCCCAGATCTCCCTTTAATTCAGCCAAAGTATGAACTCAAACCTTTAACAATAAAGATGACACACAGCTGAGATTCTGTATTCTGGATCCAGGATATTCCTTTTATAAAACCAGTTCTGTGTCTTTCCAACGCTTTCCCCTCTGTGTCAGCCCCTCTTCTCTGCATTATAACTATTCAGTCTCAAAGATGAAAAGTGTGATTAGCTCTGAGCAGTGGGAACAGGCGCAAACTGAAAGTGTTTTCAGGAACCGCATGATTCGGAGTTATCTGCACCGAAATGGGGCGGGGGACCGATAGAGCCTGGGGGATGGAGCTGCCCTCCCAACACGTGCGCCCTGGGAGGTTCCCCCCAGGTCAGGGGCCACAGCAGCCCTGCACCCTCCGTGGGCTGCCCTTGACTGTTGTGGGTCAGGGGTACCAGCTGGAGATCGGGCCTGGGTGAGCAAGGAAGCAGGGAGTGATGGGCTGAAAGGCTGTCCCCTCCCTGAGCCCACCTGGGCCCCGTGGCAGGCTGTGCCTTGCAGAGGGGCTGGCTCTTCCCCCTACTGCAATGTCCCTGTCCATGTCCCAACCTGAGGCAAGCCAGAGGGGGTACTAGCAGCACATCCCCTAAATGCCAGTGAATTGGGGTGTGTGTATTTTAAATGCTGAAGTCAAACATATTCTTCATTCAATTTAAGATTATTTTCTAAACATAGTTTTTGTAAAGCTTTAAGCATTTTGTTAATCCGCTAAACGGGAGGATAAGGTCACAATATATAAAGAACATGTCGAGGACCATTGGCCCTCAACCCCGGCTGTCCTAGGAACCGTGCCCTCGAAGCATCGCCTCCCTGCCGCATGGCACAGCCTCCTCCGAGGCCGCGTCTGAACCTGGAGTCCCTTTCCCTCCAGTCCTCTCCCTGCCCCTGCTGCTCACCCTCAGAACCAAAAATAAGCACTTAGGTAAAACTTTTTCAGGTAATGTCTAACCCATGAAGTAGCAACAGTCTGGTCGTGGTTTAGCTATGCGGGATGCATGTTTCAAAATGCATATTCCACATCACTGTTTTATTACACAGAGTACCGTGAACACATGTCACATTCCTTAAGAACTCAGGCTCATTGTTGGAGCCTCCAAGATGGTATTAGGCCGTAATGCCACGGTTCCCGTGGGCGCGGGTGCGGCTGTGTGCCCCCCTCTGCCGTGGCCGCCCAGTCACGTCTCAGCATGTTCCTGGCGGGCCTCGCTCTAGGCAGCCAGGAGCCAGTGTGGGCCTCATCCCCAGGAGGGGGATGTCCCTGCTCAGCTGATGGTCACGCACCCTCCTCTGCTGTGAAATTAGGATTTCAAAGAATGAGCTTCTTAGGATACAACTTTTTTTTTTTTTCAAAAGTGGTAAAAAAACAGAACTGAATACATCCCAGTCATCCATCAAATAACTTTTTGTTCCAATTTTTTTTAAACCCAGAAACTGCGTGCTCCGGGGAGCATCAAAAATCTGTTTTGTTTTCATGTTTTCTGGTCCAGAATCTAAATCCAACTCTACTGAGGACAGTTTGGATGATCCTGGCACTCAGGGCCCCTCCCCAGGGGTTCACAGTCAGACTGCGCTTGAGGGTGGAGACCCTGAGGGGTCGGGCAGAAAATGGAAGTTGCTTTCCATCAAGTTTAAGGCACAAGCCAGGGGACATTCTAGTCGACAGCATGGGATCTCTGTGGAAATTTTCATCTCAAGTGCTACCCAAGTGCTGCTTGGCACGTGTTACTTTTCATAATTAACCTCTTACGCAAGAAAAGGAAGTCTGTTCCCACAGTGAGCACTTCCATGGTCAGCAGCCTGAGGGAGACGCTCCCCGTGTTCAGCAGCCGGTGGAGTCTTCCCTTTGACTTGAAGGCCCCCCCAGGAGAGCAGACGGTTGGTCCCTTCTCGGACATTCCCGGGAGGATGGATTTCAGGCCCCAGGGAAGTCCTGCTGATGTCACAGGTGGTTTACAAACCGTCAGTCACCACAGCGGAACTTCATCCAATAAATCGTGCCCCAGAGCAGGGCTGTTCCGGCTCCCAGGACCCCTAAGGCGAGACCCCGGGATCACACCTGGGGTCCCATCACAAAGCACGGCCTAGGACAGGGGGAAGGAGGTGTCCCTTGGCGTCATGACACTTACTCCACAGTGAAAAGAGAATTAGGAACTCGGGTCTACAGGTGTGAGGGCCAGGAGGCGAAGTCGATCCCTTTTAAAAGCAGGGTGTGGGAATGCTACACAGGTTCGTTTCGTTGCCTGTTTAGCCCAGGTACCCACAGGCTGCCTGGGAACCCGGACTCTGGGTGCTGCCTGGTGCTCCGTGAGTCAGCCAGCATCGCGGGCTTCCTGGGCTGACGCTATGATCCTGTGATTTTCCAGGTGTGAGCCTGACGAGGAGCCACGATGGGGAAAAAGCTGGACCTTTCCAAGCTCACGGATGAAGAGGCCAAGCACGTCTGGGAAGTGGTGCAGCGGGACTTTGAGCTGAGGCGGAAAGAAGAGGAGAGACTGGAGTAAGTGTGTGGGGCTGAGCCCATGGAGCCTGAGTCCGCCACACCTCGGGGCTCACTGGGTGGGTGAGCGGCATCAACGGAAGCCAGGTGCTGGGAAACGCTCCTTCTGGCCTCGGTTTCCTCATAATTAAAACGAGGGCCCTGACTCTGCAACCTGACTTTCAGGTGTGCCTTAAGCAGTTTTATTTCAGCTTGATCCAGCTTCCAGGGTAACGTTGTCCCCAAACTGGGTGATGCAGGGGCCACCACAGTGCAAGAATGAACAGTGACAAAGGGGTAATGACTGGATCCATTCTGAAACGCCCGAATGTTGCGATGGAGGGGTTGGCGGTCGAGGCTGACTTTCCACCTTCCTTTCTGATCGCGTTGGTGGCCCCCATCCAACTGAGCGAAAGCCCACAAGCATTATTAACGCCCTCCTACCTTGCATGTTCCTCCCAACCTCTAACGCTTGGCTTCCACCGAGCTCCTTGTTATCTTTTCTGGGTATTTTGGGGGGTTGGTAGGCCTACTGAGAAGGAGACATTTGAGCAAAGACTCGAGGAGGTGAGAGAGTAGCCAAGAGAATGCCTACAAGGGCTCCAGCAGCGCAGGGAGAGGAGGTCGTGGTGGCATCACGTGGGCTCCGTGGACCTTTACAGGCCCTGGGTCTTTCTCTCAGGCCTCTGTTGACCTGGAGGCCTGTGAGCAGAGACTAGCGGGACCGACCTCCGCTCTACAGGCTGAGCGTTACTGAGCTGCAGTCACTTGTATTTTGAAGGGAGAGCCAGCAAATTTGCCCTCAGATTGGATGTGGGGTGGAGAATATGGGAGGAGTCCAAGGTAATGCCAAGGTCATGGCCTGAGGAACTGAGAGGATGGAGTTGTCCCCTCACCTGGGGAAGGCACCGTTAGACCAGGTCTGGGGGAAAGCGGGAAACAGAGCACAGTAATTAGGGGGGGGAATTGTGAAACCAACAAGCAAACATGCTCGTTCCTTGGAGATCACTTCCCTGTCCGGTGTCTATAGACACAGCATGTGGGCTCAAGGTCAGTTCACCAAGAGCAAATTGGCCAAAAGGCAACTTGCTAAGCAGACAACTCACCAAGTTTACCAACAGAAAACAATCAAAGAACAAAAGAAGTGTTTCCTTTTATATTTACAGAGTTAACAGAAATGAGTATTAGGTGGGTTTCTCTCCAAATAGGAGCGTGGGTCCCCTGGAAAGGATGTTGGGCAGGTTTGGGAAAGACCCGGCACCTCCCCTGCAGGGTCAGACCAACGGACCTCCCGGCACTGACAAATGAGCTTGCCCAGGTCCCTGACATTGGCAAGGATGGAAGGCCATGGGGCTGTGAGACCAGTTTTACTAACCCCTGTATGACCAGGCTATTCCCAAGACACAAAGCCTCCGACCCCTGAGCCAGGCCTCAGGCTCCCCAGGCTGTGCCAAAGATGTTCAAAGTCCCCCTGGGGACACAGAGGCGGGAGGCCTTGGCCCCTCTCCACCGTGCACCTCCTAAATGGCTTTCCAAAGAGAATGCGTGTTTATTCCAGGGAACAGGGTTGCCAACAGCACTGACCTTGCGTGCGCCTTTCCTCTGAGCTGCCAGGAAGGAATTTCCCTTGGGGTCTGGCTCTTGAGTGGCAAGCCCCCTGGCAGGCGGCTTCAGGAAGTGGAGGAGAAGGAAGTGGGAGGCCACCTCGCCTTTCACTTAGCTCAGGCAGATAAAATCTCTCCCTGAAGTTGGCATGTTCGACCAGGGACTTGGGAGTGGGGTGTTTACTGTACAGGGTGTGATGTTATTCCTGGCTTCCCATCAGGTTACAGTGCTGAGCACCAAAGAATCAAAAATTCAAAGATGTACAAAATTTGGACATTAACAACGTTGGCATCAGAAGGATTTAGGATGGAGTCTGGGCAGGGTGTTGCCATGGGGACGTGGGTCTTGCTGTGGATGAACTTTGAGCCTTAGAACAGGGTTGACATTTGTGTGAGAGAACGGACATCCTGATGCCAAGTCTGTTGCCCAGTGCAGGGCTTGGGCTGTGAGCCATGGGTGCGGCCACTTCCCTGTGTGGAGAGGGACGGTGACAACAGAGGCTTTGCTCCAAGGGGCTCCTCTGTCTTTGATGCTCCAGTGGCATTGGCCTTGGCCGTCCTCAAGGGCCCCCCTGCAGGTGTATGATGTGCTGGAAGGAAGCAGAGGGGAGGGCGGACGACAAGTGAGGCTCCTGGGAGGTGATTCCAGCCTCTGGTGCAAGAAACCAGCTACTGAGAGCAGAAGGCCCTTTGGGAAAGCAACATTCCTGCTGCTCATGTTCTCTTTAAATCCTTCCTTCCTCCGTGGGGTTTAGTTCTTGTGGAGACATCAGCTAATCTGGGATAAAGAAACCTTGAGGAAAAAACAAATGGGAGGAAGCACCCTCACTGATTTCAAAATGTACCACAAAACTACAATAATCAAAACAGCATCGCACCGGCATGAGCAGGTGTATAGACCAATGGGATAGAACAGTGGTCGGCAAACTCATTAGTCAACAGAGCCAAATATCAACAGTACAATGATTGAAATTTCTTTTGAGAGCCAAATTTTTTAAACTTAAACTATATAGGTAGGTACATTGTTATTAACTTAATTAGGGTACTCCTAAGCTGGCGTTTCGTCCTCTCCTCTCCAAAAAGCTCCTCCTCTCCAAGAAGCTTCTTCTCTCTCTCTCTCTCTCTCTCTCTCGAATCGAATCGAATCTGGGACCCTTCAGTCCACAGGCCGACACTCTATCCACTGAGCCAAACCAATCTACACTCTTCTCCTCTCTTTTTTTTTTAGGGCATAAGGCAGAGGTTCTTTTTCCCTAGAAGAAGGAAAGGAGAAAGGCAGAGGGTTTTGAATCCGTACCAAAAGGAGGGATAAACAACTTTCCTTGGACACAGAGCAGTCCAAGTAAGACCCCAGAGGCTTGAAATAGTGTACAAGTTGGGGAATTTTGATGTGTTTCAACCATGAAGTGAAAGAAAGGATGGAAGGAGATGAGGTTGGAGAAAGGGGTCCCAGGCTGTGCTCACATGGAAGTCATTACAAAGCCTCTCTTTCCCACACTCCCTCTTCAGTCTCTCTCTCCCTTTCACCAGATTCACCTATTTGCTTTAAAAGAACCCCTCAATTGAAAATTGAAAACAATTCAGGCCTTAGTCAGGATTTTCACCTTTATCCTGAGAACAATAGGAAACCATTTGGCAGACTTAATTAAATGAGTGGTCAGAGCAGGTTTTCTTTTTAAGTTTATTCTCATTGCTGCATGAGAATGGTCTGAGAAGGAATGGACAAGAAAGATTTGGACAGAGCAGTCAGGTGGTGATAGGTAAGAGAGATCATGGTGAACTGAAGTGGTGGTAGCAATAAGATAGAAGGTTTATTGGACAGGTGTGGAAAGTATTTCTAAGGTAGAATTGATAGGTCTTGCTGATGGGTTGGATGATCTTTTACCCTCTCTGCATCCATCCCCTTGGGCATTTAACTTTGAAGTGTCCTCTGCCTCTGTCTCTGGACTTGACCATGTGCCTGGCTTTGGGTAATAGAATGAAGCAGAAGTGCAAGTATGGTGCTTCTAAGTCTACAACTCGAGAGGCCTTGCTCTTTCCTGTGTTTCTGTCATCTCCATGAGGACATTCCTGAGGTAGCCTACTGGCATGGAACAGATACGTGGCAGACTTGAAGTGCCCAGTCAGCCCAGTTGAGACTCGTCTAGATCAGTGGTCAGCAAACTCATTAGTCAACAGAGCCAAATATCAACAGTACAACGATTGAAATTTCTTTTGAGAGCCAAATTTTTTAAACTTAAACTATATAGGTAGGTACATTGTTATTAACTTAATTAGGGTACTCCTGAGGCTTAGGAAGAGCCACACTCAAGGGGCCAAAGAGCCGCATGTGCCTCGCGAGCCACAGTTTGCCGACCGCGGGGATAGAATAAGGAGCCCAGAAATAAATCTGCACTTATATAGTCAATAAATCTATGACAAAAGAGGCAAAACTGGACCACCCTCTGACACCACATACAAGAATAAACTCAAAATGGATTAAAGACCTAAATGTAAGACTTGAAGTCATAAAACTCCTAGAAGAAAACATAGGCAGTAAGTTCTTTGATTTTGGTCTTAGTAATATCTTTTTGGATACATCTCCTCTGGCAAGGGAAACAAACGAAAAAATAAGCAAATGGGACGACATCTAACTAAAAAGGTTTTTGCCCAACAAAGGAAAATATCAACAAAGCAAAAAAAAAAAAAAAAAAGAACAACCTAATAAATGGGAGAAGACATTTGCCAATAATACATCTGCTGAGGGGTTAATATTTAAAACATAAAAAGAACTTGTACAACTTAACACCAAATTAAAAAAACAATCCAATAAAAAAAAATGGGCAGAGGACCTGAATAGACATTTCTCCAAAGAGGACATACAGGTGGCCAATAAACATATGAAAAGATGCTCAACATCACTAATCATCAGGGAAATGCAAATTAAAACCACAATGAGAGATCACCTCACGCCTGTCAGAATGGCTATCATCAATAAAAGAACAAACGACAAGTGTTAGTGAGGATGTGGAGAAAAGGGGACCCCCGTGCACTGTTGGTAGGAATGCAGACTGGTACAGCCACTGTGGAAAACTGTATGGAGATTCCTCAAAAAATTGAAAATTGAGTTGCCATTCAACCCAGTAATAACACTTCTGGGTATTTATTCAAAGAAAAAAAAACACTAATTTGAAAACATATATGCACCCCTATATGTTCATATGTTCATTGCAGCATTATTTACAGTAGCCAAGATATAGAAGCAACCTAGGTGCCCAACAATAGACACATGGACAAAGAAAATGTACTACATATATACAATGGACTATTACTCTGCCATGAAAAAGAATGAAATCTTACCACTTACGACCAAATGGATGGACCTAAAGGGTATTATGCTAAGTGAAATAAGTCAGAGAAAGACAAATATCATACGAT